TCTCTCTCTCTCTCTCTCTCTCTGCAACTCCATAATTCTTTTTTCATTTCCAAAAAAAAAAACTAGAGAAAATGGCAGCTGAGTTTCTTTTTACGTTTACCTTGGAGGAGACACTGACAAGGGTGGGTTCCATTGCTGCTGAAGGGATCAGTCTTGCTTGGGGATTAGAGGGGCACTTGCTAAAGCTCAAGGAGTCGTTGACCATGATCAAAGCTGTGCTCCAAGATGCAGCCAGAAGGGCAGTAACAGATGAGTCCGTGACGCTTTGGCTGGATAAGCTTCAAGACCTAGGCTATGATGCTGAAGATGTTCTAGACGAGTTTGCTTATGAGATTCTTCGCAAAGACCTAAAGAAGGGAAAACAGGTACGTGACTTCGTTTCGAAACACAACCCTGTTGTATTCCGTTTGAATATGGGTCAAAAAATTAAGAGGATCAATGAAGCCCTCGATGAAATTCAGAAACTTGCAACTGGCTTTGGGCTTACATCTCTCCAATATGTGAATGGAGCTTCTGAGATCTGCTTGGACCGACAAACAGACTCCTTCCTTGACAGCTCAGAAGCTGTAATAGGAAGGGAGGATGATATCTCTAAAGTCATGGAATTGCTGATTAGCTCTGTTGACCAACAAGTTCTTTCTGTTGTCCCTATTGTGGGGATGGCAGGTCTTGGAAAGACTACTATAGCTAAAAAGGTTCGTGAAGAAGCCGAGGGCAGAAAACTTTTCGATGCAACAATATGTGTTTGTGTTTCTAATGATTTTAATAAAGTTACGATTTTGGGAGAAATGCTGCAAACTCTAGATAAAACTACCGGTGGTTTAAACAATCTAAATACAATTGTTAAAAACCTTAAGAAGGAGCTTGAAAAGAAAACATTTCTTCTTGTACTTGATGACGTGTGGAATGATGACCATGATAAGTGGGATGGTTTGAGGGAACAACTGTTAAAAATCAATGACAAGAATGGGAATGCTGTTCACAACCCGCAGCAAGCAAGTCGCGGATCTCTTGATAGTGGGCATGAACCTGGTAAGCTATCGGATGATCACTGCTGGTCCATTATCAAGAAGAAAGTGAGTGCGAGCGGAGGAGTGTTGGTAAATTCAGACTTGGAAGCTATTGGAAAGGAGATTGCAAAGAAATGTGGAGGGATACCATTAATTGCCAGTGTTTTAGGAGGAACATTGCGCAAAAAGGAGAGACAAGAGTGGCAGTCTATTTTAAGTAGTAAAATTTGGGATTCTAAGGATGGAGATAAAGCTTTGCGTATAATGAAATTAAGTTTTGATTACTTGTCATCACCATCATTGAAGAAATGTTTTGCATACGGTTCCATTTTTCCTAAAGATTTTGACATTGAAAAGGAAGAGCTAATTCAACTGTGGATGACCGAAGGTTTTCTTGGGCCATCACATGGGAGGACGGAGGACAGTGGTAATAAGTATTTCAATGATTTGCTTGCAAATTCCTTTTTCCAAGATGTTCAGAGGAATGAGTATGGGATGGAAAAAAGTTGCAAAATGCATGATCTTGTGCATGATCTTGCATTACTGGTTTCAAAATCAGAAACGTTAACTCTGGATGCTGGTTCAACTGTTGATGGTGCATCTCACATTCGTCATCTAAATCTCATTTCCTGTAGGAGTGTTAAATCTGCATTTTCAGCAATTGATGCAAGGAAATTGCACACTTTTTTCTCAAAGATCAATGTACTAAATCAGTTTTTCGAATTCAGAATCTTGAGAACTCTCAACTTGCGAGGTGCTGATATCACTGAGTTACCAGATTCAATTTGCAAGCTGATACATTTGAGATATCTTGACGTCTCAGATACTAAAATCAGAGCGTTACCTGAATCCATCACAAAGCTCTACCATTTGCAAACATTAAGATTCAGTCGTTGTAAGTTGGTTGAAATGCTTCCCAAGAAAATGAGAAATCTAGTCAGCTTGAGACATCTTCATTTTAGTTATGATTTCCAAGTGCCAGCTGAGGTGAGATTCTTAACGTGCCTTCAAAAATTGCCACTTTTTGTTGTGGGTTCAGATGGAGACCATAAAATTGAAGAGTTGGGATGTTTGAATGAACTAAAAGGAAAATTGAAGATTGACGGGCTTGAGCATGTGAGAGACAAAGAAGAAGCTGAGAAGGCAAAACTGCGCGAGAAAAAAATGAACAAACTGGTATTTGTTTGGAATTCAGAGATAGAAAGCGGGTGCAATGTTAATGATGAGGATGTGTTGGATGGTCTCCAGCCTCACCCAGACATAAGAAGCTTGAGGATTGAGGGTTACATGGGTGAAAATTTCCCATCGTGGATGTCAATATTGCCACTCAATAATTTAATGAAGCTGCAACTGGGAGATTGCAGCAATTGCAGACAACTCCCAATACTTGGACGTCTCCCTCACCTTAAAATTCTATCGATAAATAGAATGGGTAGTGTGAAATGTATAGGCAATGAGTTTTATGGTGGCAATGGCAGTGCAACAGTACTTTTTCCAGCATTAAAAGAATTCACTCTGGAGATTATGTATGGTCTTGAAGAATGGATGGCACCCGGAGGAGAAGGTCATCAAGTATTTCCTTGTCTTGAAAAGTTGAAGATGAACAGGTGTGATAAGTTGAAAAGCATTCCGATAAGCCATCTTTCATCTGTCGTAGAGTTTGATATCCGTAGCTGTGATGAAATGTGTTCTTTATCTGGAGAATTTGATGGCTTCAAATCTCTTAGATATTTGAGAATAAGGTATTGTTCAAAGCTGGCATCCATTCCAAGCATACAACACTGCACAGCTCTGGTGGAATTGAATGTTGAGGGGTGCCCGGAGTTGATCTCAATTCCAGATGATTTTCGAGAATTGCAGTGTCCTCTGGAGCAATTGAGTATTTGGTTTTGTGGATTAACAGCTGTCCCAAGTTGGCTGCGGTCCTGCACATCTCTCGTTGAATTACAAATCGTTTACTGTGAGAGTTTGAGTTATTTCCCAGAGGATTGCTTCCGCTGCCTCACCCAATTGAAGGAATTGACTATTGGTTGTTTCTCAGAGGAGCTGGAGGCTTTTCCTGCAGGAGCTATGAATTCAATCCAACACTTGAGTGGGTCCCTTGAAATCCTATGGATATATGGATGGGATAAAGTGAAGAGTGTACCACATCAACTTCAACACCTCACTGCCCTTAAGAAATTAACTCTATATAATTTCAATGGAGAGGAATTTGAGGAAGCTTCGCCAGATTGGTTGGGCAACCTTTCATCTCTTCAGTATCTTTGTATCTTCCGTTGCAAGAATCTAAAGTATCTACCAAGTTCAACAGCAATGCAACGCCTCTCCATATTAAACTTCTTAGAGATTTGTGAGTGTCCACTTCTTTCAGAAAATTGTAGGAAGGACAACGGCCCTGAGTGGCCCAAGATTTCTCATATCCCAATAATCTTTATGGATAGCAGATGTTTACGATACAAGGGAAGTTTGAAATATCTGTCAATTAGTTGCGAAATGGGAACTCACAAAAGGGTTACTCCAGTCATTTTTTTTTTGAAATAAAATTTTCAAAAATATATACTTATCATAAAAAAAGTTAAAAAATAATTATTTATCATCTTACTTCATTTTCCTTAAAAATTAAATCCATATATTTTTGTTTATTTATATTTAATTTGAATGAATAATATTGTAAAAACAATAAAAATTATATATAATTGCGTATAATATTTAATGATTTTTTTAAAAAAATTATATGAAAAGTCAAATATGACTCTTTTTATAGAAACATTGGTGTAATTGTTTTCTTTAATTTTTTTTCCTCTCCCGATAAAGTTTATTATTATAATTTAGTTTTTGGACAAAAAAGAGAGAGAGAGATAGGATGTATGGAATGCGGTTTTTTTTATTTTCTTTCCTTACACATTTATTTACTTAATAGTAATTTAATTTATTTTTCGTTTGTTCTTTGTATGCAGGAAATGAATTAAATAGGTGCAGAATCTGAAACAGGAAAAAACTGTGTTATGTGGAAGCGATTTTAGATATATTTCAATTCCTTTCCTTTCAAACTTCTTTATATCCATTGATGTCTTTTTTTTTATATATAATAATTTTGAATAATTTAATGTAACTTTCGAAGTTTTATTCTTTTCTTTTTTAATGGTGATAAGCTTGATTTTAGGTATATTTCAATTCTTTTTTTTTTTTTTTTTTAAATGTTGTCTTTATTTTTTAATATATAACTTATTTTATGATGGGGTTGTGGTTGTGGTTGCTCATCAGATGAATGAGGCTGGCAATTACTGACCACACTAAGCATTAAAGCATAGCAGTACTGTTCGTGTCAGAGGCAGTGGTGGCTGTATTGGTGGACATGGTGGTGGAGATGGCTGAGAACGTAAAACATCAAATAAACTCAGTATGATAACAGCTGCCTCAGCTAATTATCAGTTGTGGATCAGCAGCATAGAAGAAGGCAGCAGCCTAAGGAGAGAAATTAAGGCCTTGCAAATATTTATTTATTTATTGCTTTTATTTATTATTTATTAAGAATAAGTCAGATTAGGAAAATGATATGAGAGTCCTAATTAGTGTGGTATTTTAATTAAAACTTTCTATGTTAGTGTGAATCTGTCTAGGCAATAGCCTATTATGTTTGTCTTTGTATAAAGAGTGAACACTTTCTGAATAAAGGAATAGAATAATTCAATCAAGAAAAACCTAAAAGAGTTAGTGGTCTCTGAAACAAAGCATCCATTGTTATATGTTCACAATAGGTTTTTTTACAAAAGAATCGAAATGCGAATAAGGGAAAGTTATTTGATTTCCCTGTTAATTGACCCTTAACGAGATCCTTAACTCGGGACTATAATATTATGCCTCTATTAATAATTGAAGACAGTGATTTTTACAGGGATCTGGGCATGCTAGTAGCGATTAGCATTTGACATAGGATTGCAATGTTCCATTGCACAATGCCAACAAGTAAAGCAAAGTAGGTCTTTTCTGATGAAAGTTAGGCTTTTCGCTATCTTGGGTGGAAAATTCTTGGATGATAATCAAGAATGCAAGAATGCAGGTTGATCTTGATATTATTTACCATATTAGATTTCCTAGCTTTCAGTACTACAATAATTTCTGACTTCTTTTATATATGTTGTTGACTAACGTTAAAAATCAGCACTCACTGCTTTGTATCCTCTTCATAGGAAATTCTATAGCAACAGAGGTATATTCATTACCTTAATATTACAACATAAATCTTTCATACCTTCATTTAGAGGTCATTAATTTTTATTTATATCTTCAATTAAGGCCCTGCCTATCTTCCTTGACGTGGTTCTTCCTGCTTGGTGGTGCTATACAATCAGTCACCACGATACTCACATTCGGTAAGCTAAAATCTTACATCTGATTCTGACCAAGAGTGGCATCTATTTAGACTGTACAAGAACAATAGCAATAAATGTACAGGTGGCAAAAGGAAAATTGATAGATTTGAAGGTGAAGGAACATCTGATGTTGCTGCGAATAACAACAGGGGTTCTACAGTTGAGTCTTTAGATGATATTGAAGAGGGCACATATTGGAATCGTCTACCTGTTTCCGAGGATTCAAATTCATGTACTCAGGGGGCACTAACTGCATCAGAAAGAGCAAATGGCTCTGGCTCTGCTGCTGAGAATTTAAATGTAAAGGTTAAAGGTGTGGATCAGTTTGAATCTGTTGCCAGATTACCTATTCCGGCAGAGTTATCGTGTTTTATATGTTGGACAAAATTTAGTTCAACCAGAAGAGTGTTGCCATGTGGTCATCGATTTTTTTATTCATGAATCCACTTCTACAGTTGAGTTTTTTTGGATTGTTAGAGTTCAGGTGCCATTTGATATCTTTGCCATTTCTCTACTTTGATGTGTTTATCTTTACCCTTTGGATGATTACGGTTGAAAAGTTTTCTTCTGCTGCTGCTGCTGATGATTCATGTAGGTTTCCAGCAGAAGAATTTCAACCTGTCCTCTGCAAGGCTGGTTTTTCAGTCATAACAAAGGTGGAGGATGCAGCCAACTCTGATCTGAAAAATTATTCTCAAACTCTACTGCGTGCCTTATCAGCAGTAGATGTTTTCGTTAATATGTTTCAAGAACAAAATAAATTTGGTTCAGGTAATTTTCCTTAATCCTTGTTTTAGCTGAAGCAGCTATATAACTGTTCCTAGATTTCTGAAGATAAACTTTCTATAATATTTTTAACTTTACTGTGGCTATAGCATTAATCTTCGGTAGCAAGTATCATGAAGAAGTGGATTGATCGTAAACTTCCTTTAGAAGTGGATCATCTTAAAATTAAAAATTTGAAGGTTCATCTTTAGTGATTTCTTATTGGAAGAGTATATCAATTTGGGAATTGATATTGACGCCTTACATTTAAATATAGGAAGTCAGTGAATTGAAGACTAAAGATTCATTTCCAGATTCGTACTTAATTCTGATCGATGCATTGGTTATGTGGTATGCTTCTTTTTTCTTGTTCTAGCACTTGGTTCCATGTTCCTTTCTTCCCTCTTAGTAATATGTTTTCATGTATAAATTAGTAGATCGTCATTGTTGTAAATGCCGGATTCAGATTAGACAGAACCGACAACCACCCTGATCATAAGCTGGTGTAAGGTAAGAGTACTTATCAAACTGTTCCTTTTGATATCATTCTGTAATTTGTTATTGAGCGATGTTTTCCCTTCCAATACCAAAACAGCCACTTGGCTCTATTTTAATTATTGTATGTTCAGCCGAACCTCCAAGATTGAAGGAAGCCAGGGAATGACTGTTTAAAGCTTCTGTAGAATGTGTGACCAGGCCAGTCTGCTGATGTCCTTCTCAGATGAGTAAATTTGTTTAAAAGCAAGGAAATGGATGAAGCTGGCGGTTCAAGAGCTCAATATGGGCATGGATGCAAACTCTTATTTATATGTATGCAACGGAAATTCTATATTAGATTTTGGTTTTAAACATGTAATAATCCAAATTATGAACTTATCTAATGGTAATGTGTTTGGGCAGGAAGGAGAGGTTCAGAGCTGGAGCTTACCTAGCTAGAACTTGCCATGCACTTGTGTTGCTGCTGACATTAATAATTCCCAGCAATTTCATATGGTCCTATCATGCTTCTTGCTGATAATGGGGTTATAGTTACTATGGTCCTCATCACTTGCCTTCTCTCCCATTTTGGTCTCTACTACAATGTTGCTTATTAAAATTTCTGTTTTTTTCTTTGAACGAAAATTTCAGTAGATTTTATCTCTATCTGTTTCAAAGTTTTTATGTATATATAGAGCTGATACATTGTATATCAATAATTCTTAGAAGTTGGAAAGCACTCAAGTTGCTTAGCTCACGCTTCGGTTTTCTTTTTCTTTCTGAAAATTACCATGCCAGTGGACCTGGGTCCAGGATGTACATGGTACATATGGATAGAACAGTTTGCAATCTCTGTATTTTAATCCGTGTTCTCTGTGACTGATAGACTGACTGCTCGTCGGTGACTGCCTTAGGGCATAAATTACAAATTAATCCCTATAATTATGATAAACGAATTAATTTATTTTTTTAATTTTAAGTACTGATTAATTTAATTTTTTTATTAGAATGGATTACGATTAATTTCATATTTAATTTAAAAAAAAACTAAATTATTGATTTTTAAAACAAAATAAACTAATTTATAATTTACTCCAAAGAACGGGACAGATTGTTTCCCTTTATTTTTGAACAGTTAAGTTTTCCATAGAAGGTGTACAAAAAGCCAATTCTGTGTCTATAAATAAACTACTCTTTATTTTCAAAATCCTAAAATCGTTAAATTGGTTCTATTTTATTTTATTTTTTTTCACTAATTTCTTGTTCATCAGATTATCTTTTTATTTTCTTTTTTAAATACATCTCTTTTATTAGAGTTTGTCACATAAGATAATCCTGGTACGGGCAAACATTATTCAGGTCACCCACTCATCAGGCAGACCTTTAATTAGTAGAAAAAGCAAATATTTTCCAACCAATTGCTTTTAAGTACTATTTTTAGATGCCTCTTAGGACACGTATTAGAAAAACAATAGATTGTAAGAATTTATTTAAGTTTAACCAATCTATGCCTTTGTCTCCGAGCCCAATATTCTTGAGCTCCTACATCCACAAGGCTTAAAACAGAGTTGGTTCGATCGGCCCCTTCCATAGTCAAGTTAGTAGCCTTCGATGTAATAATAATAATAATGAATTTTTTTATTTGTATGTTATACTTAAATTTATTTTGGGTCTAAACCCTATAAATTAATTACAAGACTTGAAGAAAGCTGGAGGCTTTTCCTGCAGGAGCTATGAATCCAATCCAACATTTGAGTGAGTCCCTTAAAATCCTGGACATATTTGGATGGGATAACCTAAAGAGTGTACCTCATCAACTTAAACACCTCACTGCCCTTAAGAAATTGCATAGATATGACTTCAACGCAGAGGAATTTGAGGAAGCATTGTCAGATTGGTTAGGCAACTTTCCATATCTTCAACGTCTTTGTATCTTTGATTGCAAGAATCTAAAGTATCTATAAAGTTCAACAGCTATTTATGATTGCCTGCTTCTTTTAGAAAATTGTAGGAAGGAGAATGGCCCTGAGTGGCCCAAGACTTAGCATATCCCAGCAATCGTCACAGATTGGCATATATGCACAAGGATACGATGGTAAGTTTGAATTAATTTTTGAAATCTCTCTCCTCTAATTCTTTATTTTTCTTGTTTTCCTAAACAGTAATTTAATTTATTTTTCATTTCTTTTTTCTATGCAGAATCTGAAATGAATTAAATAGATGTAGAATCCGAAACAATCGAATCGTATTATTTATCTAGAGATGTCCCATTTTAGGTCTTTAGACCTACACAACACAACTACAATTTGAAAATTGAACATTACAATTGTTGTCAACCAATTGACCAACCAATATAAAATTAGTGAATAAATTAAGAGACACAAACACAGTATTTAATGAGGTTGAAATATCACCAATAGTCATCATGGATAAAGAATTAATATCGGCTATGTGAATTTGAAGATTTCCTTCAAATATTTTTAGACATTAATAAGGGGTAACACATAGTTGGTCACGTGGTTTCAAAACACCAAAATCGAAATACCAAGGCTTAGAAGCATATGATTGCTACCCGAAATCTCTAAAGCGAGAAAAGACAAAAACGGTCGTTTGCTAGACCACTTTGAGGAGTAATGGAAGACCGACCAAGACTAAGAACATAGGTAGGGGTAGAAGATGTGATAGCAAAACTAGAAGCACTTAAAGGAATTAACCAAGGTATTATAAGTACTAACGATTTCTTGAAGGTCGAAAAGAGCAATATTTGATTATATGTCCCGCTTTCTTACAATAATTATAGAATTTTTTAGTACAATTAGTGGCAATATGCCTAAATTTTCTCGCAATCGTAACACTTGACCTTAGTCATGTCTCTACTCGTATGTCACGGACTTGGCCTTTCCCAAGCTCACGTGCGACACTTGGCTCTCTTCTTCTCTAAGACAAACCAAGTCGGCCTTCCTCACACAAAGTTGCTAAGCAAGAAAGACACACACAAGAGATATAAATACTCTTTGTATTGCTTTCTAAAAGCTTACAACTCTAAAGACACATTCTCTTAAGTTTATGAATGTCTAGGTGTCTTGGCCAAGTGAGGGCCTCACCTATTTATAGCCTTCCACCTCTTCAATGGATGGCTAGGATCTATTTAATCTAATGGTTACAATTGGTTCTTTAGAAATATCATATCTAGATATTTACAAGGAACTATCTAGATATACACATGCTAGATTAGTGAGGGACTCTCTAGAATTCTCTAGATCATCTTAGAGACTTCTCCAATGCTCCATATTCTTCTAGAAGCTTCCAGCCTTATCTAGAGGCTTCTCATTTGCTCCATACTCTTCTAGAAGCTTCCGGACTTATCTAGAGGCTTCTCCATTGTTCCATACTCTTCAGAAGCTTCTAGACTTATCTAGTGTTCTTTAGAATCTCTAGAAAAATCCCTCTTTTAGGCGGAGTGTAACACTCTCCCCCACCTAATTCGGTGACATCCTCGACGCGCATTCATTATACTCTTCGACCTTCCGTGCGAACCGCCACAAGGCTTCGACGGGTTCCCAACTAGCCTTGCTATCGGGTAATCCTTTCCATTTTACGTAGTACTCCTTCCTTGGTGGCACTCCACGGCGTCTAACTATGCGGTCATCAAGTATGACATCAACTTCTTTGTCATACGAGTCAACCACCGCTCGTAGGCGCCCTATAAGAAACTCCTCGGCTTGGATCCTCCTCGTCCGCATGGTATGGTTTTAGCATACTAACATGGAATATCGGATGGATCTTCGGCTTCGGTGGCAACTCTAGGCGATAGGACATCTCTCCCACCTTGCGCACTACCTCAAATGGTCCTTCATATCGTCGTATGAGGCCTTTGTGCACCTTTCGAAATGCCTTATGTTCGTCGTGGTAGCAACTTCAGCATCACCTTGTCACCGAGTTGGAAGGTGACATCTCTTCGTCTCTTGTCGACCCACTTCTTCATCTTCTTGGCAGCCTTGTTCAAATACATTCGCATCAAGTCCGCTCGCTCCTACCATTCTTTGGCCAACGAATATGCACTTGGGCTACTTCCTTGGTACTTGTCACCAAGCACCATCGTATGTGGAGTGAGTGATTGTTGGCCCGTCACAATCTCAAATGGACTCTTGCCGGTGGACACACTCTTTTGAAAGTTATAGGAGAATTAGGCAACATCTAGCAACTTAGCCCAATCTCACCTGGTTGGCACTCACAAAGTGCCTCAAGTATGTCTCCAGTAAGGCGTTAACCCTCTCGGTCCGCCCATCCGTCCGAGGGTGAAAACTTATGGAGTAATGGAGCTTTGAGCCTAACAACTCAAATAACTCCGTCCATAGCTTCCCGAGTGAATCGAGGATCTCGATCACCGATTATATGTCACGGCACACCCCAATACTTCACCACATATTTGAAGAGTAGCTTAGCAGTTGTTCTCGACCGTCACATCCGCTGGGGCTGGTATGAAAGTGGCATACTTGGAGAACTTATCCACGACTACAATAATGCTCTCAAAGTTCTCCGATTTCGGCAAAGCCACTATGTAGTCCATGGTGATTGTCTCCCATGGTCTCTTCGCGATAGGCAAAGGTTGCAATAGACCTCCGGGCGCTCAATTTTCAACTTTATCTTGCTGGCACACCGGACATGTTCTCACATAGGACTCCACATCATCACACAATCGTGGCCAAAAGTATGCTCCCTCCAAGAAGGCTCTAGTGCGTTGTTGTCTTGGATGTCAAGCCCACATCGAGTCATGGCATTCCTTCATTAAATCTCGTCGGAGGTTTCCCCACTTAGATACATAAATCCTCCTCCCTTTTGTGTAGAGAATGCCATCCTCCTTCCAAAATTTTCGAGTTTTGCCCTCCTTTGCAAGGCTCAACAAACTCTTGGCGATGGGATCATGCTCCACTCCTTCCTTGATTCCGGCCACGATCTCCCCATCCACCTTCGTCATGTGATGCAACTCGGCCTTTCTACTAAGTGTATCGGCCACCACATTGGTCTTGCTCGGCTTGTACTCAAAGATAAAATCAAATTCGACAAGAAAGTCTTGCCATCGAGCTTGCTTCGGCATCAACTTCTTTTGAGTTTGAAAGTCGCTTGTGGCTACGTTGTCCGTCTTCACCACAAATCGAGACCCTAGCAAGTACTCGTCTCCAAGTGCGCAAGCAATGCACCACTCGCGGTCATCTCTTTTTCTTACACCGAATATCGTCGTTTGGTGTCATTTAGCTTTCGGCTCTCGTAAGCTATAGGATGTTGTTCTTGCATCAACACACCACCTATAGCAAAATCGAAGCATTAGTGTGTACCTCATAAGGCTTGGTTTGGTCGGCCAAGCTTAACACCGGCTCCTCGATGACGGCTTGCTTTAACTCTTCAAAAGCCTTTTGACATTGGTCACTCCACACCCATCTCTTGTTTTTCTTCAACAAGTCGGTGAGAGAGGCCGTCTTCTTCGAGTAGTCACGGATGAAGCGTCAATAGTAATTGACTAATCTAAGAAAAGAACGAAGCTCATGTACCTTGGTTGGCTCTTTCCATTCCGAGATAGCTTTGACTTTGGCTTCATCCATCATCAACCTTCCCCCTT